CTTTCTTTCTTTCTTTCTTTCTTTCTTTCTTTCTTTCTTTCTTTCTTTCTTTCTTTCTTTCTTTCTTTCTTTTTGGTTTTCCAAGACAAGGTTTCTCTGAGTGGCCCTGACTGTTCTGGAGCTTACTCTGTAGACCAGGCTGGCCTTGAACTCACAGAGATCCACCTGCCTCTGCCTCCCTGAGTGCTGGGATTAAAGGTATGTGCCATCACACCCAGTGGCTTCTGTTTCTTTATCAGGGGAGTTCAGAAGGGGTTAACAGCATAAGGGGGGCAATTAGAAAACAGGGGCCATGGGCCTACAAAATCCACTGTTTGGAGGGGGAACTCCGGAGCTAGGTGGCTGATACGCTTTGGTGAAACCACATCCAACACCCCTATGCAAGTTGGGCCTGCCCCCTGTCATTTAATACTCATAACGGTTTTAGGAGTCTCATATTTTATAGATTAGAAAAGAGACAGTGAGCTGCCCCCTGTGTCTGAACCATCAGCTTGGTGTTCAGTGGGGCTGGGAAGATGAACACCCTCATCTGTTTCACCCTGATGCCTTCCAGAGTCTCAGAGCCCACCTCAGGGCTGTAAGGTGGGATTTGGAATTAGAGTCGTGGCTTTGGTTTCTGAGCTTCAGGCAACTTTGTTCTCTTTGCCTAGACTACATTCCTCATCTGTTAAATGTAAATGCTGACACCTCTCTGGAGTGTTGTATCAAAAGAGATCGAGGACCCTACTTTGTACATCTTCCTGCCAAAGAGCTCTTCCACACCTTTCTGTTTTCATCACACTCTTCCCGGTGGCGCGCACCACCACCACCGGCTGCTGGGAACAAGGTCCCTTTCCGCTAGGCACAGTGCCCTGCCCCAGCAGCCCCCCAGCGTGGAATCTCGCCAAGCCCTTCTCTCCCCGAAGACTCGCCAGTCACACTGGTCATCCACCCCCCTACGCAGGTGCCGCCTGGATAAGCCCACAAGTTAGGCTCCCCAGGTCCTCACACTCCAGGTCCCAGCGGTCCGCATCCCTCCCCCGCAAGCCCAGACTTTGCCTGCTTTCTACTTACGAGCTCGGGCTTGCGAGTCCAAGGGGAACCAGAACATCAGAAGTCCCAGCAAAGAGGAGAGGATCCTCACCCCGGGAACCATCCTTCCTTCCACAAACGTCAGACAACCCGGGGTGAGCCCGGGAGAAAGCGAGGAGAGAGGGACGCGAGGAAGTCCCCAGGACCAAGTAGGACCGCTGTGTGGAGTTGGAGATGAAGAGGAGCCAAGGACAGAAGGAGATCTCGAAGGTGGGGTTGAGAGGACCGTAGGGAAGGGACCAGAAGAATGGGGAGAGAGATGGACTGATGGGGAAATAAATGAAGGAGGGGAAAACGAGGGCAGACGGCGAGAAGGTGCTAGCTAGAGGAGCGGGGTCTCCGCGACGCGTGCGGCTCTCCCGGGCGCGGGGTCCGGGCGACGCTGGCTGGCGGCGGCTCGGGGCCGGCGGGGCGGCGGGACCCTCGGCGGCGGCGCGGGGGAGGCTGAGCGTGGCCGCTGTGCACGCCTCGGGCGCCAGACGCCGCGCTCGGGCGCATTTGTACTTTGCCGCGGGAAGCCTGCAGCCTCAGGCCGGCCCAGCGCTGGCGCCTCCTCCGAGGCCCCGCGAGCTCGTGGATTGGCCACCCGAGAAACAAGCCCATCTCCCCCCTCCCCTCTCGCGCAGGGCTGGGAACCTCCGCTCCAGGCAAGGCGCCGAGTGGAGACGAGGGGGCTGGGGAGGGGGAAGGGGCCGCGAGCGCCCCGGGTTTAACCCCTGTCTCCCCGCGGTGCCCAGCCAGCAGGAAGATCCAGCCCAGTGAGAGTTGAAGCGGAACTGAGTGGGGCTGGTGTTGCAGTGGGCTTCAGGTCATAGCAGGGGTCTGGGAAAGCTCAGGATTGCGTGCTTGGTGGGGAGTTGCAGAGACATCATTTTAAGCACGGTTTGTGGGCTTGGACACACCACCTAGGATGGAGACTTTCTCTTTCGCAAATCCTTTAGTACTCTTTAGGAGTGCTAAAATGATGATTTCAGCGACATTTAAGATCCTCCTGCAAATGTTGCAAAGGATCAAATAAGATTAGGAACATCAAAGCGCTCCAGCTCCGGAGGAAAGCCGTTTCGGGTACCTGGATTTCCCAGGCAGTGGTCCCAAGCTGCAGCCTGGTTGAGAGCTAGCTTTCCTCCGGAGTCACTGGGCCTGCCACTTACGAAGCAGCCAAGCACCAACTCTGCTGTGCAGGAGAGGCCCACCACTCTGCGTGGACAGGGACAGCAGTTGCCAGAGCCGCAGCAGCCCAGGCTGTTGTTCTGGACCTCATGCGGAATGAGCTCCTGAACGAACGGAGTGTCCTGCCTCTGCTAGCCTGTGCTCTGACCGCTTTAGGTTGCAAGAGGCGGGCTGAGTGGGTTCATGCTGCTTCACAGGAGGGTCTCCAGCATCTCAGCCCTCCTCTCCATCCTTATCCCCAGAGTCCAGGCCATCTCCAGGCCTTACACGGACTTCCCCCACAACCTGTCCTCAGGTCTCCTTGCCCTAGTCTGGGCCCCTCTGATGGATTTCCCTCGCATTTTCCCACAAGAGTTGTGCTGATCATTGCGACTAAGAACCGGGATGCCATCACCTCCTTCCTTGAACCCATTCCGGGCACTCACAGGATTAAGGCGTAAAGCTTTCAGCATCAGCTTCAAGACTTCAAGATCAGTTTCCAGTCTTGCCAATTTGCACCACCAACTGCCTTCAGTGATCCTCCTGCGTCATCCCCCTAGTGACTAGAAAAATAGGTCCGTACCGTTGTGCCGGAGCTTGTGACCTTGGGCTGCGTGTTTATTTTTGCCAGTGTGTCTTCTGTGTGCCCACACTTGTGCCCGATATGCGCACCTGTGTGCTGGCCCCTCGCCCTTGCACTTGCATGCTCTGGCCAGACGAGGGCAGTGGTTGTCTTCTTAGAGTGTGTCTCCCCTTATGTGGGTATCTAACGGGTATCTACCGGGAATGAACTGGGTATCAGTGCCAGTAGCCAGCTAGCCAGCCCCAGGGATCCTTCTATCACCTCCCACAACAGGGTTGAACAGCCACACACAGCTTTTTTATGCGAATGTAGGGGATTTGAACTCAGGTCTTCATATTTGCCCAACAAGTGCTCTTACCCACTAAGTCATGCCCTTAGCTCCCCATGACTTTAACTCTCTGTCTTCTTGCTTTTTCCTCTAAGCGCTGTGGTTACAGGCTGCACTACCACGCTCAGCTGGAGGGCCTGGACAGGGTGTCCTGCATGCTAGGTTAGCACTCTAACTTAGCTATACCACCTCTGGGACTTCACCGAGTCTCCCAGAGAAAGATTTCTTTTTCTCTTCTTCCTTCCTTCCTTCCTTCCTTCCTTCCTTCCTTCCTTCCTTCCTTCCTTCCTTCCTTCCTTCCTTCCTTCCTTCCTTCCTTCTTTTTGCCGAGTTGGGGATCAAACCTAGGACCTTCTACATGCTAGGCAAGGGCTCTAGTGAATTCTCCATCTTTGTGAGGAGTGTAAATATTTATTTGCATTTTCACTCTGTACTGTGAGAAAGATGCCCTTTTCAATGCTATATCTGTTTTGGCTATTATGCAAACATTTAACACACAATGACACTGAATAAACATGGCTGAGCGTATGAGCAAGAACATGCATGGTTTCAAAAGACATTTCCCCTTCATCTGGATGTATGAAGCGCCCGTTGGCCTCAGCCTTAAACACTAAGAAACACAAGTGTTCAGTGTTGGAGTTCTTGCCAAGTGTGTGCAAAGCCTTGGGTTTGACCTCAGTAACCTAAGTCTGCTTTAAAAGGTCCTCCAGTCCTCAAAATTCCCAGTGCTTTCACAGTCTCCAGTAGCGTAGCTGTGAGCTCCAATGAACAGCAAAAACAAATAACGTACCTCCAACCTATTGTGGTACCAACGAGAGATTCTTATTCCAAAGGAGGGAAGAAGAAAAAAAAGGTCAAAGCAAATGAACAATCACAGCAAAGCATCTTCAAATCCGAGAGAGAAAAAAAAAGAAATCTTGCAGCTCTAAAGACCAAAGAATCTCCTGGGCTCCAAAGGGCAAAATCCTTCGAGGAATATTCTATTCTATAATGTTCCATGACTTTAACATGATAATATAGACTTACAACACTTAATCACTAACAGTGTCTAAAGTGATGTTGTGTTACATGTTAAAGAAGCAGAAGAAAGAAAAAAAACACAATTATCAACTAAATGTGTTTACAAATAATTCTTAACAAATAGGACAACAACATTGCTGTCAGTTACAATTCTCATTTCTGTAGCTGGTCACGTGGCCTTAGCAGGTATTTGTAAACATGCCTGCTGCTATTCACTCTGTACTTCCCCTGCGCGTAGCAAGCTCTGCAGTGAGTGCAAGCCTGGAGTACGGAGATCATACTTTCATGACATACAGGCAGGGAAAGCCTGTAACCAGAATAAGTTACCTGTTCCAGTAAAGTCACAGTACTATCCCTTCCAAAATGGGTTCACTGTAGCCAACCTGCCACCAGGTTACTGGCCGATCGCCCCAGAGAATGGTACCATGTCAGGGCTCTGACTGGTTTCTACTGCTGGCTAATTTGGCATTCAGAAGCAGCCATAGTCAGGTCAGCCTTAGTAAGTGAATATCCATGCTGTTGAGCCCAGGCATGAGGCCATCTCTGCCAGCATGGCTATCTGTTCACCGGCCCACTGGGCACTGATAGGAAGGGCTAGAAAAAGAAACTGTAAGGAAACAGTGTCCTCATAGCAAGTCATCCTACCCACTTGACTATTAACCTCTTCCTCTTCTGAAGTTTATTTTGAAAAGCATTTACATGGGACATAGTCATCTTCACATTCTTCTACCATCAGGAGAGATCTATCCATGTACTCTTTCCCTAAATGTCTTTCTCACCAATTTCCCAAACATAGTCCTTCTAAGTCCCTGACCATCTAGCCAAGCCATTGGCTACAGCCCAGGGATCAGCAAAAAAATCATATACTTGTCCATTTCTCTTTCCAAGCCGGCATGCAGATATGTTTGTTCACTGCCGAGTTCTGCCCATCATGGAGGCTCTTCACTGGTGTTCTGGAAAGGATCTGTGATTTGACAGCCGCCGCTTCTGAGTGACATCCTCGCGGCATGCAGAACCACCAGTAACTGAGTGTGTGGTGCACGACTTTGATCCCAGCACTTCAGTGGCAGAGGCAGGCGGATTTCTCTGTGATTTCAAGGCCAGCCTGGTGTATATAGTGAGTTCCAGCCAGGGTTCCTGGTCCATACAGTGAGTTCTATCAGGGCTACACAGTAACCTGGGAAGAAAGAAAGAACCATCAATAAACCAGATCTTAGTCCTTTCTTCTTTAGTCAACTGATCATGGGGCATACTCCCTAGGGCCATAGGTGGGTGCTTGGGGACAACAAAGTGTTGTGATAGGAGTGGGAACCATAGACATTTAGGAAACTTCATGTCACTTTTTTGTGCCTTCAGAAACCTCACAAGCCAGGGCTCCATTTTTCTGTGTTTCTCTCGAGTTCCCACACTAAGCTCATTAAGCTGTGAGCACCCAATTATTTTTCCAGCCCAAAGCCCCAAGATCCTTCCACAGTCCTCCCCCAAACAGCGTGGTCAGTTCCATCACAGCAATACTCTGTTTACGATATATTGCTAAAATTCCTTCCCAGGAATAGAGACTGTCTCATTCCTCTCCCCAGGTCCCAATGACAAACCAAGATATGACTGGGGGAAACCAGTGAGTTCATTAGGCAATGGTAGGGTGTTATGGGCAGAACACAGATGACCATAAAGTAGTCACAAAAGTAAGTACCCAGCAGGAATGATGGCTTCCCCATGGCTGCATAACTGGAGACCCCCTCCTCATCCTTCCCCTAGCCATAGCCTCTAGCTTTTCCCAAAAGACCACATGGAATTAGGGCAGAATTGCATAAAACTGGTTGGAGAGGTGCGTGGGTACTCTGATGATGTTCCTATGACCCTCCTGCCCACTCCTATGAAGTTCACCCACAATGTTTTTGGCAGAACGCCTGAAGATGGTGGTGGTTTGGCTCAGAGGATAGTTCTGAAGTACCTCAAATCTGCTCCCCTCCTTTACCCCTTA